CGCCCCCACGCACCGCCCACTGCCGGACCGGAGCCCCGCCCCGTGCGCGCTTGCGTGCGCTGAACTTGACGTCGTGCTCCCGGGCCGGGATGGGGCGGTGCGGAGGTGGGGCCAAGGCTGGCGGCAGTTGTCAGCTGCCGTGAGGCCGGGCGCTCAGCGGAGATCCGACAGGCTCCGGGACTTGGCCAGAGTGGGGGCCTAGCTTCCAGCACTCGGTCCCGGAACCTGAAGCCGGCGTCGCTGCCTCCCTGCTCAGTCTTTGGCTAGCTGTGTGTCCTTGGGCATCTTGCTCACCCCTTGAGTCTCGTTTCTGGATCTGCCAATATGAATGAGACACACGCTTGGGTGCCCACTGCACCTTCTGGCAGGAAAATACTCTCCACCTGAAGAGAGGTCACTAGGGATGGAGGAATCCTTAGGGACTTTATGGTCTCAAGCTCCCCCATTTGAGTCCCCAGGCCCTGAGCTTTGCATGGGACTGATTAGTCAGACAGAGAAGCAGCTGCTGCAGACACACTGGGCACCAACCAGGCCAGATGCATGCATGATAGTCAGGTAGTGCCTGGGTAGAAAAGGACAGTGTGGAGCTGTTTTAGGTAGAGAATGAAGTCACTCACGGTGGCTTTTCGGGAGAGACACACAGAGGGTGAGGATGTTAGCCCCTTGGGCACACCTAGGGCTAGATACCAGGGCAGCATTGGGGAACCCAGGTGTCAGACTAGGACCCAGCTTGGTCAGTCCTATAAAAGCTGTGAAGTCAGGCTCCTGATGCCAGAATAGGCTGGAAATAGTGACCCTCATCTATCTGCAGAAACAGGCTGTGCCACCCAGATTACCCTGGGACAAATGGCTTTGTAACCTGGACCAGAGTGGGCAGAGGCCAGACCAGGCCTTGGGCATCTGGCAATACCTGTGCCAGGGAGGAGGTCCTGTCAATGATGGCCCCTTCTGAGCTGAGTGGTCTGTCCTAGCCCTCTGAGACCTGAGACAACCGCCTCGGATCACCAAGATCACCTGAGCCATGTGACAAATTATGTCCACCTATCCCCTCAGCCCTTATTGGGATAATTATTAACAGTTTTCAGTGAACCAAGAAACAAGGATGGGGCCAGCTCTATGGCACAGAGGTACCTGCTCAAGAGAAGCAAGATCCCACATGACAAGCACAGTTCAAATCCCTGGCCTGGTTAGCCTAAAACACTCTGGGAACACATGTAAGTGCCCAAGATCCAACAGGCTAAAGGAAGGACACTGTGACAAGTGCTCATCTTGCTCCCTGCCCCTCGGCCATGTGCATGTACACATGTACTCATTTAGTTTGATGACATGACATAAAACCAAAAAGCATTTCAAAACCCTCCTGCTGGTCCAGCACACCATAAGTGGTCACTGGGTCTCAGAGCACATGTGGGTGGGGTCAGATCAGGAACACGGGTTCCACGCTGCTGCGGGACAACTGGCCCTCACTGGCTAGGTGCCAGTCACCAGGCTTTGGTGAGGATTAGCCTACAGAAAGGCGGGAGAATCGTCCTCATTTTACAGATAAGGAAGTTGAGACTCCACCCTGGTTACACAGCAAGTGACTCTGCTGCTACCCCCTCTTCACTTGCCTGACTCCAGCTCCCTGAGGATGCTATCTGCCCCACCCAGAAGAGTTGCTGGCCACACTGGCCTGATGCTGAGGAAACCCTCCAGAGGGTAAGGGCAGTGTTGGCCTGGCACCCACATGTCTTCCCAGGGCCATTGACTATTCTAGGAAGGTCCCCAAATCACTGGGACGTGGGAGGCTTCAGTGGCAGGGATCCCAGGACAGACCTGACCAAGTCTGCCTTCCCTGCTCTAGGACAGAAGTGGGCTGGCGCAGCTTCAAGGAAGCAATGGGGTCAGGGATTGCCAGCTGCAGCGGCCCACCCTGACACACCACAGCCCACTCCAGTGTGCCTGGTTTTTTGCGGGTCAGGCTCCACATCCACCCTCCCTGGAAGGTCCAGATCCCAGTGCCTGAGATGGGGTGGGTAGTCTGAGAGAAGGCTGCAGGCTCCCCAGAGGTGCCCATGCTGCTGCCCACCCAAGGTCCTTGGGTAAACTGGTCTGCCTAGAGGAGACCTGCACAAGCACCCTCCCTCTAAGCAGGGTATACACCAGCACCTCCCCTAGGGCTAGCCAGCATCTTCTGTAAAGCACTGTGAGCATTGTCCTCACAGCTCCAAGCCAGCTGTCTGTAAATGCAAAGACCATAGCTCTCCTGAGCCAGGCTGGGGTTTGCCCCATTATCAGTCCCTCTGTCCCATGCACACAGAGATCACTGGGCCAAACCAGCTGACCAGTAGCCATCCTCCACTCAGTGACTGTCAATCCTGCTCCATGTCATGCGACCTTATATCCAGTCCACCACAGTGGGTCTCCGAATCCAAGGAAACCCCATACAGGATGTTAGTCCAAAGAGGTCGCTTAACATGACAGGGTAACTCTACCTGAAGGGTAGTCGGACCACTGCAGGCCCATCTTCCAGATCACTGATTCCTTCTTCAGCCTTGTCTAATTCTCTGTCAAACACAGCCATTGAGATTTTAATCCTCAGCCTGGCTATTTTAAGAGAGATTTTTGCTATAGGGTATGTGTGCTTGCCAGAGAGAGAGATAGAAAGCAAGAAATCACCCCCAAGGAGGTGCAGCAAGTGACTCTGCTGCTACCCCCTCTTCACTTGCCTGACTCCAGCTCCCTGAGGATGCTATCTGCCCCACCCAGAAGAGTTGCTGGCCACACTGGCCTGATGCTGAGGAAACCCTCCAGAGGGTAAGGGCAGTGTTGGCCTGGCACCCACATGTCTTCCCAGGGCCATTGACTATTCTAGGAAGGTCCCCAAATCACTGGGACGTGGGAGGCTTCAGTGGCAGGGATCCCAGGACAGACCTGACCAAGTCTGCCTTCCCTGCTCTAGGACAGAAGTGGGCTGGCGCAGCTTCAAGGAAGCAATGGGGTCAGGGATTGCCAGCTGCAGCGGCCCACCCTGACACACCACAGCCCACTCCAGTGTGCCTGGTTTTTTGCGGGTCAGGCTCCACATCCACCCTCCCTGGAAGGTCCAGATCCCAGTGCCTGAGATGGGGTGGGTAGTCTGAGAGAAGGCTGCAGGCTCCCCAGAGGTGCCCATGCTGCTGCCCACCCAAGGTCCTTGGGTAAACTGGTCTGCCTAGAGGAGACCTGCACAAGCACCCTCCCTCTAAGCAGGGTATACACCAGCACCTCCCCTAGGGCTAGCCAGCATCTTCTGTAAAGCACTGTGAGCATTGTCCTCACAGCTCCAAGCCAGCTGTCTGTAAATGCAAAGACCATAGCTCTCCTGAGCCAGGCTGGGGTTTGCCCCATTATCAGTCCCTCTGTCCCATGCACACAGAGATCACTGGGCCAAACCAGCTGACCAGTAGCCATCCTCCACTCAGTGACTGTCAATCCTGCTCCATGTCATGCGACCTTATATCCAGTCCACCACAGTGGGTCTCCGAATCCAAGGAAACCCCATACAGGATGTTAGTCCAAAGAGGTCGCTTAACATGACAGGGTAACTCTACCTGAAGGGTAGTCGGACCACTGCAGGCCCATCTTCCAGATCACTGATTCCTTCTTCAGCCTTGTCTAATTCTCTGTCAAACACAGCCATTGAGATTTTAATCCTCAGCCTGGCTATTTTAAGAGAGATTTTTGCTATAGGGTATGTGTGCTTGCCAGAGAGAGAGATAGAAAGCAAGAAATCACCCCCAAGGAGGTGGCCACGCTGCAATCCTTTCTCCTCCATTCTCCTCTCCAGATCTTGGGCACACACGTATGCGCACCCAGAGTGGGTTTTAAGCCACTGGGTCTAGGACTCAACCCAAGGTAGACAATATGAGAGTCCAGCAACGTAATCATTATATCATCTACTGGTCCCCAGTCTGACTATGTTTGGTTGGGGACTGGGTCTTGTTTTGAGAAAAACAAACAGAAGTAGCTGGAGACCAGGAATCACCCGATCTTCCCTTGGGAAAAATATCTCTGTGTTTCCCAGGATCACCAGAAAGTTTTGTGGCAGCCTGAAGGCTGCAGTGCTGGTGAGGGCTGATTTCATGGTCACCTTTGTTCCTGGACCTCCTGTGATCTCACCCTTAATGATTTGCCCTGTGGCAGCTTGGCTTCTTACAACCACTTCTGGATCCAGAAACACCCAGAGAGGGAACATTCTTGGGGTGCCACACTTCCCTATTTGTTCTTGGATACTTGCAGATTTCTAGTCAACTGCAAGAATGAGAAAGGGGTCCTAAAATTTCGAGCAAAAAGCATTCGTTAACACATATATGTTTCCTGTGGCTGCCGTAATAACTTGCTGCAAACTGGGCAGCGGAAAACCACGGAAACTCTTCCACACTCTGGAGCCCAGAAGTCTGAAATGAAGGTGTCAACAGGCCCACGCTCCCTCCAGAGGCTCTGGGGGAGAGTCTTTCCTTCCTTTTCCAGCCTCTGGTGGCTCCAGGCACTTTCTGGTTTATGCATCTCTCCAAACTCTGTCTCCATGGTCACATGGCCTCCTCTCTGTGTGTCTGTGTGTTGTCTTTTATCTTTTCCAAGAAAACTTGTCATTGGTTCATCTGGATAATCCAAGATGATTTCTTCATCTCAAGATCTTTTTCTTTTTTTCTTTCTTTCTTTTTTTTAATTGTCAGAGAGCACATGCACTTGCCAGGGAGAAAGAGGGAGAGAGAGAGAAAGCATCCCCAAAGGGGGTGTGGTCACACAAGAGTATCTTTTCCATTTCTCCATCTATTCAGGATTTTGGACACATGTGCATATGCAACCAGGGTGTTTTTCAAGACACTGGTGTCAGGACTTGAACCGTG